TGTGAAAAACCCTTTGCTACCAAATGAGCATTGAACTTCTCCGCCTCTTTCTATTACTGTTGGTTTCTTCTTATACACCCATTTACAACCAATAGACTTCTTACCCTCAGGAAGGTGAACTAACTCATGTGCGATTGTAATTCAAAGACTCCTCCTCAACCATGAAAGCCATCCACTTGTTTTCCTAACTAGTAATAGCAACATGAAAAGTAACCAGATTAATTGCTAACAGTAAGTGTAAAAGAGACAAGTCTTCAAAACCCAATCTGTTCGGAGGCTTTATATTGGTCTGTTCACTGTCTCTGGCGAGACTATAATCCTGCAAATCAATCGTAGCAGAACCTAGAAGTCGATTGAGAAGTTTCTGTTTTCTCAATTGGAAACTGCTCCAAATCCACCACTGTCATGTTTCTTCAGCTGCAATATGGGATGTTCATAAAAAATAACATCTCTATTGATCACAATTTTCTTCGCAACTGGATCCCAGAACTTGAATCCACTCCTTCAATTTTGCATCAAGTTTGGATCTCTCATCAGCAGGTACATGCATAAGCAGGACAACCAAAAATCCGTAAATGATCAAAAGTAACATCATGACCAGTCCATACCTCTTCTGCAACTTTCCCAGCCAATGATGCCCTTGGCGATCTATTGATAAGATAACACGCTATATTAACTGCCTCAGCCCAGAAGTGTTTGGGAAGCCCCGCATTCAACCGCAAACATCTGGCTGTTTCATTCAACGGCATGTTCATATGTTCCGCACTACCATTTTGTTGTGGTGTCTTGCACAAAATGTCTCTTAATCCCATGCTCCCTACAAAAATTTAGAAACTGTGAATATGTGTACTCCGTACCATTGTTAGACCACAAATACTTGATTTTTCATCTTGTTTGGTTTTCTATCTCAACTTTCCACAGCTTGAACTTCTCAAAAATATCAGACTTCTGTTTCAAAAAATACACCCAAACTTTTCGTGAAAAATCGTCAATAAAAAAAACATAATACCTAGATCCACCCAAAGACGATGTCGTGGAAGGCCCCATATATCAGAATGCACATAATCAGGAATCCCTTCAGTTGTATGCTTCCCAGTCTTGAAACAAACTTTAGTCTGTTTACCAAGAACACAATACTTGCAAAAATCGAGCTTACAACTTTTAATACCATGCATATATTTCTTTTATGTAATTCATCCATACCACGTTCACTAATGAGCAAGACGCATATGCCACAGTTTAGTAGTATCATCACAAGACTCAACAAAATGAACTCCACCTACAACGGTACTCCCTAACAATCTGTAAATACTCCCTGCAATCATCTTTCCTTTCATCACAGTCAAAGCTCCTTTAACAATCCAAATGGTTTCCCTATCCTCATCAGCCTTAGGGATAAAACCATTATTGTGCAAAGTGCCTAAAGAAATCAAATTCTTCTTCAAATCTGGGATATGCCGAACACCACATAATGTCAGAACAGAACCATCATACATCTGAATTCTGACATCACCAATACCAACAATATTGCAACATCGATCATCACCCAAATAAACAGAACCAGAATTAACCGACCTATATGTCAAAAACCATTCCCTATTTGGCGTGATGTGATAAGAACATCCAAAATCAAGAATCCAAGCATCCGTCAATTGAGTTATTGAAATAGAGAGCATATCACCCTCACTGCAATCAGAATATTCATCCTCGACCATATTCACAGACTTGGATGAGTCATCACGCTTCTCATTAGTCTACTTTTCAACTTCGGACAGTCTCGCTTCATATGTCCCACCTCTTTGCACTTGTAACAGTGAATTGTCTTCTTATCCTTAGATTTGGATCTGAAATTCGTTTCCCAGACCCTGGCTTCCGTCTACGGTCTCAATTACCCTTGACATATAACTATCAGCTTGAGAGCTTTCCCCTGCATTCTGTTTCCGCTGGTTGTGAGCCAACAAGGCTATAGTAATCTCCTTAACTTTGATAGTCTATTTCCCATATGTAAGAGTAGTCACCATGTTCGTAAAAGGGAGGAAACAAACACAACAAAATCATCTCTTTGTCTTCATCCTCAATTTTCACATCAAGCCGAGCCAAATCAGAAATGATTGATGAAAACATTCATGTGTTGCACCAAATCATGATCATATTGCATCTTCAGCCCATATAGCCACTTCTTTAGATACAGTTTGTCTTAAGGATTTCATAAACTAACTTTCCAACTTTTTCCAAATTTTATTTGGAGATGATAGATGCATGACATGATACATGACCTCGTCCACCAAAATAATTGTATGGTTTCTGTCGCTCATTGTTGCAATTCTTCCCAATCTTCCTCATCCATCGACGCCAGTTTTGTAGGCCGCAAAGCCTTCAGGATCCCTTGCTACGCCAACAGATCCTTCACCCTTGTTTCCATAATCTGAAGTTACCCTGATCATCGAATTTCACATTTAATTTGGCTCCTGACATCTGATACCAATTGTTGAAAAAACATGTAAAGAAAACAGAAAGAGCACATGAATTTTAACGAGGTTCAACAATGTGCTTACGTCCTCGGTGCCCTAGGTGGCACTATAATTTATTCAATATCTCATAGGTTTTATATCTCTTTATAATAAATAAACCCTGGTACATATTTATAAAAATAACCCTGTACCGTACCGCAAGGGCTATGTCCCCACAACCCCAACCCACATACTCACAACCCACTACGAGACTTTCTTTGTAAAGACAAATGATGCTCACTCCGCTTCATCCTCTGTCCTCTTTACCGGTATATATGTGAGTCATACCTAACATTATTATACTTGTTATATATTTTTCTTTTTATTTTATTACAGGCACATTACAACAAACCCTAGGTCCTAATGGTCTAAGCAATTTAGGGTTGTTAGAAACCCTAATGGCCCTAGCCACCCATGTCATCGTCGTCAATTACGAAGCCGAGATTGTTGGTGAAAATGGTTCAACCACCTCATCATCATCATCATCTCGCAAGAACAGTGAAAGAAAACAAAAAAATTAAACAAATCTATTAAAAAAAGTAAGATCAAAACTACTTCCCAAAAATCTGAGGGATATCCTTTTGCCAGCTATCTTCACAAACACGCAAGTAGCTTTTTAAAATAACAATCAACACCAAATGAAAGAGGGGGAGACCAGTTCAAGGAGATAAAAACAGAGGGAGAAAAGAAAAGAAAAATACTTGGAAAAAAAAGATAGAGAGGAAGTTATACCTCACAATTTCAAATGCACTTGTTTCGCCAGAGTTGTTAGGATCCCCAAAGCATCAAAGGTAGTCCTTTCACTTTCAGGTTTTGGTATTTAAGAGAATGTGAGAGGTTAAGATAGAAATTTGGGGGTCTTTTTGTTTGTGGGTTTGAAAACATGAGGTAAAAGGGGGACATAGGCCCTTCGGGGCCTTCTAAGATGATAGTCGGAGGGATTTGAAACAAAATGAGAGAAAAAAAGTAAAAAAAGAAGAAAATTAGAGATAGAGTGGCAGTAGAGAGGAAGGGTAAACATACTTGACCTTAAGGGCTTTGTTTTAAACCTAATTAAGGTTTAATTGTACGTTTTTTGGCCCAATACCCCCAAGCGGGTCAAATTTTTAGGTATTAGGCCAGCCCAAATTTTATTTTGGGAAATACGGAAATGGTACAGCTAGGGACTCTTCACCTCGACATGACGAATTTTCTTATATTATTTTAAATGGTCCCTGAGTAGTGGGCCCCACGTAGATCATTATTTTATTTCATTAATATGACTCATCACGTCGAGGTGACGAGTTTATTAAAAAAATTTTTTTAAATTACAAAATAAAACTAAAATTTTTAAATTAAAAAATAGATGGAAATGTCACCTCAAGGTGACGAGTTCCTTCAATTAAAAAAATTAGTCGTTTTGTAGTCATTGGTCGACATACAGATGCAATGATCAATTGGGCAACAGTCACTTGGAACTCATCACCTGAGGTGACGAGTTCGACTGAAATTTTGAAATATATCCATTTATAGGCGTTGATATTAGGTTTGGGTTTCATAAATGGTGAGATCGAATTAAATTTGAATTAATATATATATATATATATTATATATATATATTATATATATATATATATATATATATATATATTATATATATATATATATTCAATCCGATTATGAATTTTAACCTAAAAATTTGAATCAAATTTTAGATCTAATGAAATCTCCTAACTTGGATCGAATTCAAGTGGAGAGAATATGCTTTTGAGTTGAATCATATGATCGAAAAGCTAATATAACTCGACCAGTATCATCCCAATATTAACTTATCATTTTAAGCGCGAATCAAGTGACCTCAGTGATAAAGAATTGTTATATTCTTTGAGGTCTTGGGTTCGAGCACTAGGAATGCAAGAGAAGTAAGTGTTCAATGTCAAATGGTGAGAGTATATTTGAACAATTAATGCCTTGTACTTACCCAAATTAATAAAAAAATCATTTTAAATCATATTTAAATTACCTTGAAGTTTTAAATTCACTTATTAATATGATTCAAATTTCACAACAATAATTGATATAGTAAAATGAGAGATTTGATCTCTTAAGTAACACTTCCGAACATTAAATAGATTGGAGAATCACTATCATATTGGACTTGAATTAATAGATTAATAAATTAGATAATATGAGTATAAAAAAACATAATTCAACCAACGAGAATTGGTTCAAGTGATAAGCAGCTTGATCGTTAAGCATGTCTCAAGTTTGGGTCATTGTGTATGCAAAACATATATGTGTAGACTCACCCATTAAATCAAGTATGTGACATATATCAATCCAAATAATCAAAGCAAGTCCTGGAACCGGGAGGGAAAAAACATGATTAAATCTAGACAATTCACACTGCTTCTCTTACTTTTTTTCTCCTCTCATTTTCTTCTTTTCAACAAATATAGTGATTGTTCTTTTTGGTAAAGAAAGAGCAGATTACAGAATCTAAGCACACACAGTGCTGCTATCATCTTCACGTAAAACAATATAAACCTCCATCGGGGCTGATAAACTTGAGGCAATCATAGGTGTTGTCATCTGCATCTTCGCCAACAAATCGCTACCTTATTTCCGTTTCGAGATCCATACCGTAGTTGATTGGCCGCAATAATGCAGCGGTGTAATTAAAAGGGTAATCCTTTTCATCTGTAGAAGCTGCTGCAATATGATCCAATGCCTCCACACTATCTAATTCTAGTATAATCTGAGTTTCTGTAGCTCCCATGCACATAAGAGTCCCACGAAAGCTCCCCAAAGCTCTGCTTCAAAAACCGAACATATTCTAATAAATTTAGCAGAGCCCATTTTTCATTCCCTTCATGGTTCGAATAACCCTCCACAGCTAGAAAGTCCCGTTACCGGTTCTTTGCACCATCCGCGTTCAACTTCGCCATCCGCTAGTTGGTCTTGTCCATCTTTCTCTTCGAATACCACAGTTGAGTTGAGGCTCCCGATTTACCGAGCCCAACAGACCAAAAAAGAAGGAATTTAGGAAAAGATATTTTAAGAATTTTCAACATAATAACTTTATCCTTTCAACTGAGAATTTTGATAGTTTACCTGGTTATCTACAAGTTTCCACCATATGCTTCTCATCATTTTCTAACCTTAAAAAATGGACCAATATGAACAAGCACCAGCAAATATGAAAAATAGGTATTATAGATCAACATTGAGACCATATTATAGTAAGAATTTCCCAGACATTGTGGTTTAACTTCTAACTCGGATAGAACTTTGAGACCAAGTTGAACCTTATGTCAGTATTTGATCGAATCAAATTAATAAGTCTTGACAACTAAAAAATTCAATTTTTTAACTTGACACAATCAAATCGGTTAACGAAACTTTTCCGACGATAACGTCCACAATTCTCGGTACTTTCAACTTCATGATCGTATCTCCATGGCTACAAAATTCAGCAAGTAATGGAAAAATTTCCAAACATCAAAACCAGGGTGATCGACCATGCCCAAATGACCAAGCACTATCGACCGAGGCCTAACGATAATTACCATAATCAAATGCGACGATGAGAATAAACAAGCTTCACATCTTTCAAAATGCGTAGAGAACCATCTAATCACACTACAAAGGTGATTACAGCAAACTAACAAGAGATACCAACGAAAACAGGATGATTACTTCATTGAGAAACAAAAGTTCAAGGTCCCAAACTTAAATTCAACAGATAAGAACATTATCTTAAAACGCTCCTTCAATTTCAAAACCTGCTTCTTCATGCCCATGTTAAAGTTTGTTCTTCAGCGGTACTGCAAACCAGAAAAAAAATACACCAAGGTTAAGAAGCTGCCTATATAAAAGAAAGGAACATGAAGAGATTAAGATCAAGATAACACTAATGATTAACAGTTGAAAGTGTGATCAATTGGGTGAAATCGGTATACCTTGATGAACCCGATTTCCTTGGCATTGCTTCCGAAGCATTGTCTGCAACACATGAGCCCATATTTTCTGATAATGGCATGAGGGTTTCCACACACTCGGCTATAAAACAGAAAACAAAAGTCCTTTGTATCATGTTAACACCATAAAATCATTTAACAAAGACAAACAACATGGTGGCAACGGGAATACGGATTGGAAACTTTAGATTTGGATCTAATTTTTTTTATATAAATTGTGAGAATGAAATCAATAATATATATCAAATTAGTTAAGATTGTTGAAAAGTCATCACAAGTGGCCAAATGATGGCCTAACTTTCCACCGAAAGTAGAAGCATTAAATGCATCAAATGAATTAAAAATTGGGGCACCGAAAAATGGGCTGTTTTAGTTGATTTTTTAAAATGGTATTATTACAATTTAGCATTTTACTTAGGGTTTAAAATTAGTCATTAAGCTTCAATAAATATAGCTCATTTAGTTTCAAAACCATCCCAAATCATTCTAGCTTTCTCCATACTAGAGAATTTAAAGAGTTTTCTTGAGAGTTGTTTTCTCATTTTTATCAAGAGAGAATTATCATTTTTTCTCCTTGGTAGATCGATAGAGGTTGTAATTCCTATTTCTCATAGTGAAATTCTTTTACGTTGCCCGTGGTTTACCCTATATTTAGGGGGTTTCCACGTAAAATTTGGTCTTCTTTATCTTTATTTTATTTTTTAAATTATCAGTTGATTTTGCTCTATCTGATAGTGTCTTCCGCAACAATTGGTATCAGAGCCAGGTTTGAGTGTGTAATATGTTTATTGTCTTTGTGGTTGCCACCAAAGGTGAATCATAAACATAAGAAAGTAAGAAGGTATTACCCATTTTTGAAGGTTCCAGAGAACTATTCACGATAGTGAAATAGTAGGAGCTATCCGTTAGAAGCTATGTCAACAAAATTTGATATTAAAAATTCAATGGGAGAAATTTCTCATTGTGAAATTGAAGATGAAGGTCATCCTAAGGAAAGACGGTTGTCTAGAAGCTATCAATGAAGGCCAGTAGATTTCACAGATGATAACAAATAGATCGAGATGGACGAGAATGCTACACAAACTTCATCTAGCATTAGCAGATGAGTATTGTTAAGCATCGAGGAGAAGAAGACAGGAGATATGTGATCTCACAATTTACGAGGCCACATCGTTGCACAATAAAATTTTCCTTAAATTGTACTCTCCGATGCCGAATCTACTTCAGTGACAGAGCACTTAAACACGCTGAACACTTTATTTCTCAGCTTACATCCTTAAGATGTACAATAGGAGAACAAGAACGGGTGAACTTCTACTTCAAAGTCTACCTGATTCGTATGATCATCATCAACTTGACAAACAGTAATGTCACCAGTCTAGTCTTCGATGACGTTGCAGCTGCTATTCTATAAGAAGAAAATCGACGCAACAAGAAAGACAGACAAGTAAATCTATAATAAGCAGAAGCGTTGACAACGATGAGAGGGAGATCAAAAACATGACCAAAGTACAGTCACAAACATGTAGATCGAAGTCAAGAAGCAAAAAGAATTAAAGTGCTACAACTGTAGAAAGAAGGGTCACTTGAAGAAGGATTGTTGGAGTTTAAATAAAACTCTAATCCACAAGGCAATACCGCACACTTCAGATGATGGAGATGCTCTATGTTGTGAAACGTCAACCACCTGGAAGGCAGAAAAAGATTTGCATATATATGGCTCATTGATTCAGGAGCAACATATCACATGACCTCAAGAAGAGAATGGTTTCATCATTATGAACCTGTCTCAAGAGAATCTGTGTATAGTTGCAATGATCATGCCTTAGAGATCGTTGGTGTGGGAACCATAAAATTGAAGATCTATGATGGACAATTAAAGTTGTTCGAGATGTGCGGCACGTGAAGGCTGAAGAAAAATTTATTATCTACATATTGTTGGATAATAAAGCAAGCAACATTAAAACACATAAAGAAATCATGAAGGTGTTTCGTGGAGCACTTGTGGTGATGAAAGGCGAAAAGATATCAACAAACTTGTACATGTTGAATGGAGACTTTGCTAGAAGCAGAAGCCTCTGTTGCCTCATGTGTTCAGATTCTGCATGCTATGGAATCAGAAACTTGAACACATGAAAGTCCTTGTGGAGAAAAACTACTTCCAGGCTTAACAAAGATATCACTTACTTTGTGTGAGCATTGCATACAAGTAAAAACACCGGTTGAAATTCAACACATCAAATTCTAGAGGCAAAAGTGTTCTAGAATTGGTTCACTGACGTATGGCAAGCACCAGTTACATCCCTAGGCGGAGCAAATATTTTATCTCATTTATTGATGACTACTCCAGGAGATGTTGGGTGTACCCTATTAAAAAGAAGTCAGTGTGTTTTCCACTTTCAAAAACTTCAAACTCCTCAACAAAATGGAGTGGCAGAGCGGATGAATATAACCTTGTTAGAAAGAACAAGAGCAATGTTGAGGGACGCATGCCTAGAAAAATCATTATGGGCATAAGCAGTCAATACCGCCTGTTATTTGGTGAATCGAGCTCTATCAACTACAATAGAGCTTAAGACACCATGGAGATGTGGACTGGTAAACCAGCTGATTATTCAAACCTCCATGTATTTGGAAGTATTGTGTACGTGATGTACAACTCCCAAGAAATTTCAAAGTTGGATCCAAAATCCAAGAAATGCAAATTCTTAGGGTATGCTGATGGTGTAAAGGGGTATCGCTTGTGGGATCCCACTGCCTGTAAAGTGATCATCAGCAGGGATCTTTGTAGAAGATAAGCTACAAAGAAAAGAAGACGATGGTAGCACTGAAAAGTCAGAGACTACATAGATACATGTGGAAAAGGAGGTTGAACGAGGAGATTCTTCTGAAGCAGAACCAACACATGATGAACAAGAACCAGAGAGTTCTGAAGCTCCAACAACTTGTCAATCAGATTGAGTGAGAAGACGTCCCAATTGACACTTAGATTATGTTATAGAAGGAAATGTTGCATACTGCCTTTTAACAGAGGACGGTGAGCCATCAACATACCAGGAGGCAATAAACAACTCATATGCTTCACTGTGAATGATGGCAATGCAAGAAAAAATCGAAGCCCTTCATAAAATAATACATGGGACCTTGTGCCACTACCACAATGAAGGAAGCCAATTGGTAACAAATGGGTCTTCAAAATCAAGCGAAATGGTGACGATCAAGTTGAGAGGTATCGTGCAAGGCTGATGGTCAAATGATATGCTCAAAAAGAAGGTATTGATTTTAATGAAATATTTTCTCCTATGGTTCGACTAACAATAGTTCGATTAGTCTTGGCAATGTGTGCTACATTGAACTTACATCTAGAGCAGCTAGATGTTAAAACAGCTTTTCTTCATGGAAATCTTGAAGAAGAGATTTATATGCTCCATCCTGAAGGTTTTGAAGAAAAAGAATAACTTGGTTTGCAGGTTGAACAAATCTCTGTACAGTATAAAGCAGGCGTTGAGGTGTTGGTATAAGAGATTTGATTCCTTCATTATGTGCCTTGGATACAACAGACTTAATGCAGACCCTTATGCTTATTTCAAGAGGTCTGATGATAACTATTTTGTTACATTACTGTTGTATGTGGATGACATGTTGGTTGCAGGACCCAACAAAGATCATATTGAAGAATTGAAGGCACAATTGGCTAGGGAATTTGAAATGAAGGACTTGGGATCAGCAAACAAGATTCTAGGGATGCAAATTCACCGATACAGAAGTAATAGGAAAATTTGACTTTCACAAAAGAATTACTTGAAGAAGATCTTGTCAAGATTCAACATACAAGATTGTAAGACAATTTCTATCCCTCTTCCTATTAACTTCAAATTATCCTCCAGTATTAGTCCTAGCAGTGAAGAAGAAAGGATGGAGATGTCTCGAGTACCGTATGCATTGGCAGTGGGAAGTTTAATGTTCACTATGATATGCACAGGACCAGACATTGCACAAGCAGTGAGAGTGGTTAGTCGGTACATGGAGAATCCATTCAAAGAGCATTGTAATACAATAAAGATGATCTTGAGATACATCAAAGGGACCTCAAATGTTGCATTATATTACGGAGGATCAAACTTACTAATAAATGAGTATGTAGATTCTGACTATGCAGAGGATTTGGATAAAAGCAAATCTACTACAGGATATGTGTTCAAAGTTGCTGGTGGAGCTGTAAGCTGAGTTTCAAAATTGCAGTCAATTGTGGCTATGTCCACAACAGAAGCAGAAAATGTAGCAGCTACACTAGCCAGTAAAGAAGCAATTTGGTTGAAGATGCTATTGGAGGAGCTTGGGCACAATCAAGAGTATGTCTCTTTGTTTTGTGACAGTCAAAGCGTCTTGCATTTAGCAAGGAATCTAGCATTTCATTCAAGGACAAAGCACATACGAGTTCAATACCATTTCATTTGTGAAAAGGTGGAAGAAGGAATGGTAGATATGCAGAAGATTCATACCAAAGACAACATAGCAGATTTCATGACGAAGGCGATCAACGCTGATAAATTTACTTGGTGTCGATCCTCTTGTGGCATGTCAAAGACGTAAGCAACATGATGGTACAAGGTAGATAGAATGGTGTGTAGATATGATTGTTCCAATCAAATCTTCAAGTGGGAGATTGCTGAAAAGTCATCATCAAGTGGCTAAAATTGATGGCCTAACTTTCCACCAAAAGTAGAAGCATCAAATTCACCAAATGAATCAAATGAATTAAAAATTGGGCACCGAAAAATGGATTGTTTTTTGTTGATTTTTTGAAATGGTATAATCACAATTTAGTCATTATACTTTAGGTTATTTATAAGATTAGTCCTTAAGCTTCAACTATAAATACCCTAGATCATTTAGTTTTAAAATCATCCCAAATCATTCTAGCTTTCTCCCAATACTAGAGAATTTAAAGAGTTTTCTTGAGAGTTGTTTTTCTTTTTATCAAGAGAGAATTATCATTGTTTTTTTCCTTGTAGATCGAGAGAGGTTATAATTCCTATTTTCTCATAGTGGAATTCTTCTACCGTTGGCCGTAGTTTTTACCCTATATTATTTAGGGGTTTTCCACGTAAAATTTGTGTATTCTTTATCTTATTTTTATTTTCTCAAATTATCAGTTGCAATTTTACTCTATCCGATAGCCGTCTTCCGCAACAAAGATATAATAAATTTCATAATTAAAGGTACAAAAACATTAATTTTGAGAGAATACATCAATGAAAGTAGCAGATCGAGCTGAAAATTTTGAGATTTAGTAGCAGATTGATTAGTAAAAAAGATCTAAAAGGCTCGGACGATAGAAACATATTATTACGTCAATGAGGCAAAGCTCTCATAGTTTGATGGTATACTTTTCAGTCATCACTGCCTTAAATAATCATACAAAAAGTACGAAAAAAATGCATGGATTCATATCAAATTGACGCCTCAGAATCAAATCTTCGAGAGAATACATCAGAGAAAGAAATCTCAGATGCTACGGACAAATGTTTGAACATCACAGGCAATCAAGAATCTGAATAAAACAACGAAACGTAATAGAAATTCAAGTATAGCGAGAGAAGAAATAGAATCCTGTGTATGGAAGTTGATAACAGCGGTAATTTATTTGAAGTTTATAAGCAATCGGATAATGGAGAATCGAGGGGAGATGAAATTTACCAGGCGCGAGTGCCAGGGCCGAAGGTCTTTGGGTGAGAGTTCCAAATGACCCATTATTGACTAAAGATGATGGCCTCCCTCCGATGCAATCTCTGTTTATATCCTTCTATCAACTATAATCTCTTACATGATCATTAAAAAATTTAAGGGTAAGTAAAATTTGACTCTAACTCAAAAAACTGATTTTTTTGGACTCGAATTGACTTCGAGTTATAATTTGATAAACTTAACTCGAAAATATTTCTAGTTCAAATCGAGCTGTAAAATATATCTTGAATAGTAACTCATAATATTTAGTAATTAGTGGATTAATTTTCAAGTTTGAGTCGAGTCCCTCGAATATATATGATAAATGCATATTACATATAAAAAATACAAAGAAATATATGTATTGTATATGGGTATTAAATTAGAATCAAATAATATCATAATACTTACAATTAAATTTAAACAAAAATTCAACTCGACTTGAAAAAATTTCAAATGAACTTCGAGTTATAAAATAAGACTTGAGAACTCGAATAACTTGAAATTTGTTTACTTGACTTGACCAAGCGTTCACCCCTAAACAAACTTATGTAATTTACCACTTAAATCTATCTGAAATATACAAATAACTATCATCATCCTAAATCTATATCAACACTTAAAAGTTTGTATATAAAGCATCATGCAAGGTAGGACAAAGGAGAGAGAACATTGTTTCACTCTCACTCAAGCTCTCTTTGGACGATTTATCAGCTTTTTAACTCGTTTATTTTTTTTTCTCGTCCATTGAACAATTGTATTTGACTCTCTCTCCAATTTAAAAGAGATAAATAGTTAAACTCCACTACAATCTCATTTCTCCCATTAAAAGATTGAATTTATATTCTAAACTAAGTTTAATATAAAAAATTTGAAACTATAAATATATTTTTCCATTTAGGTGCTTTTTTGTCAATTTAGGTGTCTAACGTTTCCAACATTATCATTTAAGTTTTTGGACCGTGACAAATGATAAAAAAAAAATACTGTCAACCACTCAGAATGTGGCACGTGGTGCCAATTTTTTAAAATTTAAAAAAAACTATTATTTTAAAAATAAATCCACCAAAATATTTTTAAAATCTAAAAAAAATCACAAAATCTTTAATCCCAAAGCATTCACTCCACCAATAGACCGTCCCCCACTATTAACGCCCCCACTAGCTGTCTACTCACTCGTCGTTATCTGTCCATCCATCATCAATCATAAATCGTGGCTTTAAACTCTCAAATCCCTAAATTCAAACCCTAAATCCCTAGATTCAAACACAAATATATCACAATCGTTGGGTGAGTGGTCGTCAACATGGTAATTGGCAGACGGTGGTAGTCGACATCAAAATTGAAGGTCTTATGATATTTTATAAAAAATAGGAAAAGTTAATGCTTTTTTAAATGACTATTAGATACTTATATGATAACATTAAAAACATTAAGCACCTAAATTGATAAAAAAATAGATGTCTAACCGGAAAAGAAGTATAATTTAAACACTCTTTATATTAAGTCTCTAAACTAATATAACCGGATCGGCTTAAAATCTATTGGTCTCGCATGTTAATTGATTTAATTTTAATATTTATATACAAAATACAATATATTTAAAATATTATATATGTCGATTCTTTTATTGGTTCGGTTTGAAAATTTAAAAAAACCGAAAACGACTAAAATAACCATATTGATTGATCTCCACCCCGTCTTCCTTTCCCCTGCTTCGTGCCGGCAGTCGTCGACTCGACACTGACAAACAAACAAATAAGGCAGGTTTCATGCCACTACTGCTCTTCTAATACGTCTATATTCAGATATCGATATGCTTCGTCGCGGTTCCTTCTAAATCGCAGGCATGCAGCTCGCAATCCAGCTTGCCCCACCTCGCATCCACTCGCTCGCACCGGAATATCGGTTTTCTGAGGCTGTTGGAAGCAACCAATGCCAACTAACCATAACAATGCTCTAAAAAAGATCAATCTAATATAGCTCAATTCACATAGGCAAGTATGCTAGTTGATATGCAAGCATATGAGGTGCAGCAAAGAAGATAAATTTTACCTTCTGTTAACAACATTGTGCACGTGACAGAGCCATTGGGAAAACTCATCATGAGATCCGGCCATTACAGGATTAGCTCTGACATCATGATATATCTCTATTCAGAACAGATTAAGGCTACTAAATATCTGCATATATACATATAAGAAGAACCTCGGATCGAAAATTTTGATCGAATCAAGTGAGAACAATCCAACCGCATATAACAACATAAATGAATAAACAGGACAACGAGATATCGACTTAGAAATTTCGTCCTTTTTCACTCAGCATTCCCAAATCAGGACCTAATTACTCTTTGTTCTTCAAATACTGGAGCTAGTTCAGTTACAAACCCCGATTTGGTGTGAAACCGGATAGCTTTCCAATCTTACTCGGCAATCCCTTTGATTATACCATCTAAAACAAAGGCTAACAAAGTGGTTCTAAAATTCTTAACATGATATCGATTACCAGAGGAAGCAACATGGAGAAGACAAAAATATACCTCAAAACTTCTTTAAAATGATCTGCACATTCCTTGCAGGGATACATTCTGGATAATATCGACATCTGCAAGTCGAAACAATTATCATTAGTCAGTTTAAATAGTTTATAAGGACAACAGTTACTTCCACAATTCCATTTTTGGTTTTCCTTACAATTCTTTTTATGTCATTAAAAGCCTAAAGAATCAAATCCTTTCGATTTGACTCGACTCATTTCACTTTTATGTTTTAATCGAACCCGTATCGAGATTTCGCTTCATCCAAGCATAAAATTGCAAGATTGAATAAGGAAATTAAGATTCAATCCAAGAATGAGATGTTATACCAGCTCTTTTACATCCTTCTTTTGTTGCCTTGTTGGATTTTCGGGATACTGGGAGGAAACCATCAGGGCAAAACCGTAGGCATTATAATTGACAATGAGAAACAAAAGGAAAGATAAATGAAAAGACCTGGGCGGCAAGAGTGTGAAGAAAAGTCCAAGTAGCTCTTCCAAGTTCTTCTTTAGTAATCGGTGCAGCTGGCTTCTGTCAAATTAAACAAAAATGTGTCTAGGAAATGAAAAGCAACACTTCAATAAGTAACCTAAAAAGAAAGTAAAGTACAAGATAATCTCTAACTATAGGTGTTGTTTTGTTAAGTTTAATACCGTTAAAAGTTATAAAATAATAAATCAACTATTCATATTTTTAAAATTCCTTTTTTTATAAAAATAATTAACGACTGTCTAAATTGAACATTAAATTATTGACACAAATATAATGAAATTTTATCTAAAAATCGTTTCAACTATATTTTATGAATTAATTTTCTATTTACAATATATCATCGAATTAATGCTTTAAATATTTGTTTACCTTATATTGTGAAGTCAATGCTTAAAAATAACAATAATATCCATATACATTATTAAAATATAACTTTATCATATCATAATATTCAACCAGTTAACGTCTAGTTGACCTAGAAGTAAATTTTTAATAAAAAGAAGATAAATTTGAAACATATAATCATAATATTATTTTATAATTTTTTATAGCTGGGATATTTAACAAAAAGACACTGATAATTTGGATTTATTTTATAATTTTAAATAGTCGAAAATTTAACAAAGAGCGGACCATTTGTATACTTTAACCAAATAAAAAAACATAGGCGTCATTTGGAAAATTCGTCAAACAGATAATAAGCAAGCTACCAGGAGCACCATTGATAAACCCTGTAAGCTTTAGAATCGATTCCAAGTAATTGGGCATATCGAAAATGAATCTATTGAGGGAATGGAAAAGATACCTTCACGAGAAGATTGGTCGCGGTGGTCGAGGAGTCGGCGTTTACTGACGATGAAAGAGAGATGAGAGGGTTTTTCTTGGTGGGTGATGAACGAAGAACCTGTTGGGTGAAACTGGAGAGGTGGGTTTGAACACAATTCGAGAATCTTTCAACTGTTTGGATCAAAGCTTGGAAAGGGTTTGGATTTTCAGCAGCCATATTTGCTTGAACGTGATAGAGATAATGGCGGGAAAAAATGAGAAAGTTTGGATCTCAAGGCGCTGTTTGGGTACTTTGCTAAATGCCGCTCACAAAAGGCCCATCGCACTGATTTTCATTTTGTTTTTTTAAGGCTGATATTTTGGTTAAATTCTATAAAAGGTCCCTATACTGTCAGATTTGGGTGGATTTAGTCCATTGTTAAAGCACATTTTTCCAATTTCTTCTTCTCAACTTAGTTTTTATTGAAATATCCTAGAAATCAAATCAAACTTCATGCTTATATTGATCTGATTTATAATTTCTTTTGTTTGAGTGGCATAGAATCAACATTTATTATCTTTCTACTTTTTGGTCTATCTATTATTGAAGTTTGAAAGAAGCTAGTGAGTTGCACGTGTTGAAAATTATAAAGGCACATGGGCTGTTAATTCATTAGCAGCCGGCTGCCTTGAAAAAAAAAATGGGAAAGTGCATTTTTAGTCCTTTGCAATTTATGGTATTTACAAGATTAGCCCTTAAGTTTCAACTATAAATACCCTAGCTCATTTAGCTTCAAAATCATCCCAAAATCTTCTAGTTCTCTCTCAAGTGTGTTGTGTAAACACCTGTAAATTTTCTCTTAGTAAAAGATCTGCAGCAGTCCGGAGATGTAAGCAAAATTGGCTGAACTCCGTTATCAATTTCGGGTATTATTTTTCCGCTTTTATTTCGCATTCTCACTAATCTGGTTATAGGGAAATTACTTGTACTCGGTTTATTTCCTAACAACTGGTATCAGAGCTTTTGGTTGTGAATTTTGTCAATTTTCTGCGAGGTTACTATTCATTAATATTCACGTGAATAGTGAATTTCGTGAATAGTGAAATTCAGTCGGCGATACGAGTTTGTCGACGGAGGTGTTCTAATACACGGCGGTTCGCAGAAATTGTCAGAAACGATCCAAACGAAGCCAGATTCGAGTGGGATCGTCGGCTGCAGACGAAGGGAAGGTGAAAATTGAAATGTTCGATGGTGCGGACTTTGGCTTTTGGAAGATGCAGATTGAAGATTTTCTGTACCAGAAAAATCTATATCAACCTCTTTCAGGAAAGCAACCAGAGGGCATGAAGAATGAAGACTGGGCTCTTCTCGACAGACAAGCCCTCGGAGTTATCCGACTGACGTTATCCCGCAATGTTGCTTTCAACATAGAAAAGGAAAAGACCACGGCGGGTCTTATGACAGCTCTCTCCAGTATGTATGAGAAGCCATCGGCCTCAAACAAAGTTCATTTGATGAGGCGATTATTCAATTTGCGGATGATGGAAGGGGTATCAGTGGCACAACACCTAAATGAACTCAACACAATCACAACCCAGTTGAGTTCAGTGGAAATTGAATTTGATGATGAAGTTCGAGCTTTAATTCTCTTATCATCTTTACCAGACAGTTGGAATGCTACTGTTACAGCAGTCAGCAGTTCGTCGGGAAACAGCAAATTAAAATTCGACGATGTTCGGGATCTGGTACTGAGCAAAGAAATTCGGCGGAGAGAATCGGGTGAAGCATCAACCTCCTCAGCCTTGCACACGGAGTCTAGAGGGAGAACTTCAGAAAGAAATTCAAATCGTGGCAGATCGAAATCCAGAAGGGGAAAATCAAGAACAGGAAATAAAGATTTTACCTGTTATAATTGTGGCAAGAAGGGCCACTTTAAAAGAGATTGCCGAGCACTGAAGAAAGATACCGGTGCACAGGAATCTGCCAACGTGACAGAGGAGACAAGTGATGCCATGATTCTAAGCGTCAACAGTCCGATTGAATCATGGATTTTGGATTCAGGGGCATCTTTCCACTCCACGCCATGCCAAGAAATCATGGAGAACTATGTCAGTGGTGATTTTGGGAAGGTTCATCTTGCTGATGATGATGAAACCTTGAAGATCGTCGGAAAAGGAGATATCCGACTAAAGCTGCCAAACCAGACCACCTGGAAGCTGACAGGAGTGAGACATATTCCTGGCCTCAAAAGAAATCTGATTTCTGTTGGACAGCTTGATGGAGAAGGATATAGTACAACCTTTTCAGGCTGTGAATGGAAGATTACCAAAGGAGCACTCGTCAGTGCTCGTGGTAAGAAGACTGGTACTCTCTATATATAACCTCAAATTTAGAGAATATCATTGTAGTAGCAGATGCTGATGGAAAATCAAACCTATGGCACCAAAGGCTTGGCCATATGAGTGAGAAAGGAATGAAGATACTTCTGTCAAAAGGGAAGCTGCCGGATCTAAAGAATGTAGATGTCGGACTATACGAGGATTGCATCTTTGGAAAACAAAAGAAAGTCATCTTTACAAAGATTGGCAAGACTCCCAAGGCAGAAAGGTTAGAATTGATTCATATTGATGTATGGGGACCATCCCCAGTTCCATCTCTTGCAGGCTCACTATATTATGTCACCTTCATCGATGATTCAACAAGGAAGGTGTGGGTTTATTTTCTGAAGAAGAAATCAGAAGTCTTTGATACCTTCAGAAAATGGAAGGCCATGGTGGAAAATGAGACTGGTTTGAAAGTCAAGCGGTTGAGGTCTGACAATGGAGGAGAATACAGAGACAGTAGATTCAGAGATTTCTTCGCAAACAATGGGATTAAGATGGAGACAACAGTTCCCATAACACCGTAGCAGAATGGCGTAGCAGAGCGCATGAACAGAACTCTGAATGAACGTGCCAGAAGAATGAGGATACATGCCGGATTGCCCAAATTTCTATGGGCTGAAGCTATCAACACTGCAGCTTACCTGATCAACCGTGGGCCCTCAGTTCCTTTGGATGGTGGAATACCAGAGGAAGCTTGGAGCAAGAAAGAAATAAACCTTTCACACTTAAGAGTGTTTGGTTGTATTTCTTATGTACACATAAACTCTACTGAAAGAAGTAAACTTGATGCCAAGTCCAACAAATGCGTCTTTGTTGGTTACGATGGTGATGAGTTCAGTTACCGGTTTTGGGACTACGAAAATCGAAAGATCATCAGAAGTAGAGACGTCATTTTCAATGAAAATGTGATGTACAAAGACAGGTCAACCGCAGAATCAAGTAATACCGAAGCTGAAACAAAGGAATTTGCTGAGTTCGAGGAGATTTCTGGAAATGATGTTCAGATCAGTCCTGAAGCAGTTCAAGAGGAAGAACCAGGCACACCAGAACTGAGACGCTCCTCCAGAATTCCTAAACCAACCCAACGGTATTCTCCTTCTTTGCACTACTTGTTGCTGACTGACAATGGTGAACCAGAGTGCTATGATGAAGCGATACAGGTGGATGATTCAATCAAGTGGGAGTCTTCCATGAAAGATGAGATGGACTCGCTTATGTCAAATCATACGTGGGAATTAGCTGAATTACCACCAGGCAAGAAAGCGCTCCATAACAAGTGGATTTACAGGATCAAAGAAGAGTACGATGGGAGAAAACGCTACAAAGCAAGATTGGTTGTCAAAGGCTTTCAGTAAAAAGAAGGTATTGACTACAATGAAATTTTCTCTCCAGTCGTAAAACTGTCTACAATCAGACTGGTATTGAAAATTGTAGCTGCAGAGAATTTACATCTTGAGCAGTTAGATGTAAAGACAACTTTCCTTCATGGTGATTTAGAGGAAGAAATCTATATGAGGCAGCCAAAAGGCTTCATAGAGGCAGGCAAGAAAAACTTGGTATGCAGGTTGAAGAAGAGCTTGTATGGTTTAAAACAAGCTTCTAGACAGTGGTACAAGAAGTTCGATAGTTTCATGGGTAGCAGTGGTTTTACCAGATTCCAAGCAGATCATTTTTGTTACATCAAGAGGTTCGACAACAACTTTATTATTTTATTATTGTATGTTGATGACATGCTCGTTGCAGGCTCAGACATGCAAGAGATTATACACTTGAAGCAAAAATTGTCGAAGCAGTTTGCTATGAAGGATCTGGGTGCTGCAAAGCAGATTCTTGGGATGAGGATCAAGAGAGACACAAAGTCGGAGACTTTGATGTTATCACAGGCTGAGTACATCAACAAAGTACTCTCCAGGTTTAACATGCAAGATGCTAAACCAGTAAGTACACCTTTAGGTGTTCATTTCAGACTCTCCAAAGAACAGTCACCAAAGACGGAGGAAGAACGTGCACACATGGTGAAGGTGCCGTATGCCTCAGCAATTGGAAGTCTGATGTATGCCATGGTTTGTACCAGACCAGATATTGCTCAAGCAGTGGGAGCTGTTAGCAGGTACATGAATAATCCAGGCAAAATACACTGGGAAGCAGTCAAATGGATCCTCAGATATCTGCGAGGTACCACAAACAAAGCACTTTGTTTCAAAGGTGGAGATACGATACTGACAGGCTATGTAGATGCTGACTTAGCCGAAAATGTTGACATCAGAATGAGCACTACAGGGTATGTCTATACTCTAGGAGGAACCGCAGTGAGTTGGGTTTCTCAACTACAGAAGATAGTTGCTCTCTCCACAACCGAAGCAGAATATGTCGCTGTTACGGAAGCCAGCAATGAGATGGTCTGGCTTCAAAGTTTCTTGGAAGAGTTAGGCAAGAAACAAGAAAACAATGTCTTGTATTGCGACTGTCAAAGTGCTATCCATCTAGCGAAGAATCCATCTTTTCATTCCAGGACGAAGCACATACAATTGCGATATCATTTTATCCGGTCTCTTCTGGAAGATGGGATTTTGAAAACTTGAAAAGATCAGTGGAGCTCAAAATCCGGCAGACATGTTGACAAAGACGGTGACCACGGAAAAACTGAAGTTGTGTTCAGCTTCAGTTGGCATGCTAGAGTAACAAAACTAGAAATGATGCTGCATCGATCGAGGTGTGAAGACAGATTAAAATCAGTCTTCAAGTGGGAGATTGTTGAAAATTATAAAGGCACATGGGCTGCTAATTCATTAGCAGCCGGCTGCCTTGAAAAAAAAATGGGAAAGTACATTTTTTAGTCCTTTGCAATTTATGGTATTTACAAGATTAGCCCTTAAGTTTCAACTATAAATACCCTAGCTCATTTAGCTTCAAAATCATCCCAAAATCTTCTAGTTCTCTCTCAAAAAC